GCTATGGAAATCGACTGGATGGAAGTTTGGACGCAAACTTCCGTACCTGTTCCCCTATTTAGGAAAACAGGAGGAAATGGTACTCGACACACTTGTGTGTCGGTGCCTTTCCTTCTGTTTTCCTCTAAGGCTACCCTATAGGTTGCAGGTAGGCCTCCAAACTTTGTAAGGGGTTCTTTAACTTGAACTTTGGCCTCCACCCACTAGAATGGACCCCCAACTTTTGCTGTTTTGATGTCTTGTTTGTCTTGTGCTTCTTGTCACCTACTAGCGATGGCCCCCAACCTGTCTTCGACGGCGTCTAACCTAAGAGCGAAGACCTCCAACTTTGACCGCTTTGCTGTCTTGTGGTTTCATGTCTCCAACCTACTAGTGATGGCCCCTCAACCTGCCTTCGACGGCCTCCAACCTAAGTGCGAAGACCTCCAACTTTGACCGCTTTGCTGTCTTGTGGTTTCTTGTCTCCAACCTACTAGCGATGGCCTCTCAAACTGCTTTCGATGGCCTCTAACCTAAGAGCTATGGCCTCCAACTTTTGCACCTTGTTTTACTCAGGTTTTTTTAACCTAGGCTGGCGTGTGGCACCGCATTCAGTTCCGTACACCATATCTCAAGTATCTCAAGTGTGTGTGTGTGCGTGTGTCCACCTCTGTAACTAAGAGTGTCAACTTGTCATATCAGGGGGACGGGACAACACTGGCATTTCCCGTCCAACGAAGAGGATGCCAGTAGGTGTTGATGCAGTGGGGGACGCCCCACTGTGTACCTGCGATGCAACTTTTGATTAAGCTGTGACTCCAGTCCTTCTTTGGTTGTTTCCATGGTCCTTTCATGCTATTCCCCAAAACCTTTTACCTCAGGCGCTTTCCCCTGACCTTGAGTTTGCCGCTGCAGTCGTGCGATTGGAACAATGTTTGTTAAAACACCTTCAAATGATCGGACTCTTCACCTTGCCGTTACGCCATTCCTTTTCTCCTGGGAATTTAGTTAACTGAAAACCAACGTCAGAGTGTGAACCGCTCAGTCGTCCCACTTGGGCGCTGGGTGTGATCTCCCGCAAGGGAGCGCTGTCCTCATTCTGGATTACCACTAACTGACCTTCTTCCGTTCTGCACACGTTGGATTCTCTTAACGGACTTTGTTTCACCACTGGATGCCCAAAACACCACGCCGTCGGGCCCACGACAATACTTCCACTTGCGCATTCATTAGTTTGAAGTTGCGCTTGAGTTCGACATGTCCATTTGCCACTCACTTTCCACGCCGCCATGCTTTCGGCCATGTATATGTGTCACACATGCAACTCACCTTCCACGCCGCCGGGCTTACGGCCATGTATATGTGTCACACATGCACCTCCACGCACCCCCCCCAACCTTGCAACCGAATTCATGTTTCTATCCCACCCGCTATCTAGGGTTACAGAAGGAAATGGTACTCGACACACTTGTGCGTCGGTACCTTTCCTTCTGTTTCTCCTTTTCTACTCCTAGCTACCCGGGCGGTTGAAGACGAATGTCCCGCTTGCTAACTAGTGCATTTAATTTATTCGTCTAAGTTCCAAAATTAGTCCAGACCCCACGATTGAAAAATTGGCACTGAATAATGCTTGGTTTTTTTGGGACCTCAAATGTTTATATTGGAAACCTAATTAATAAAGGTTTGAATTCCTTCTGAACCCTGTCCACCTGATTATGATTCATTAGCTGATATAGCTTTCTCTAGGTTTCTTCAAAACTGACAGCTGACCAAACCACCAATTCCTAATTAAACCCTTTATAAAACATTGCTCCTAAACAAATTTTCAAGGTAGTAGACCAGGAAGGCGCCTGATCCTCAATAATAGATTTGTTTTTGGGTTCTCAATTGTGAAAAAAATTCCACTTGAAAAATCTGCTCATGGAATCTTCCTTTCCTTGAGAAAGGAAGCTGAATACAATCTATGAAAGGAAAATGAATAATTACTACAATCAATTACAAAAAGGAATTCTCACAGGAATCCAGATTTGTTTCGGTGGTAATTCATTATAGGGGTCACCTATTTGTTTGAGGGAGGGGGGGGGGCGGGGGGGGACCGGGACCCCCGTTTACTAATCAGGATCCAACATTAGTAAGTTCCTCCAGAGCGCCGATATCGGCACTCTGTGTGTGTCCACCTCTGTAACTAAGAGTTTCAACTTGTCATAGCAGGGGGACGGGAAAACACTGGCATTTCCCGTCCAACGAAGAGGATGCCAGTAGGTGCTGATGCAGTGGGGGACGCCCCACTGTGTACCTGCGATGCAACTTTTGATTAAGCTGCGACTCCAGTCCTTCTTTGGTTGTTTCCATGGTCCTTTCATGCTATTCCCCAAAACCTTTTCCCTCAAGTGCTTTCCGCTGACTTTGAGTTTGCTGCTGCAGCCGTGCGATTGGAACAATGTTTGTTAAAACACCCTCAAATGATCGGACTCTTCACCTTGCTGTTACGCCATTCCTTTTCTCCTGGGAACTGAGTTAACTGAAAACCAATGTCAGAGTGTGTGTAACCTTTGGAGTCACAAGGTTCCTTTTGGAATGATTCCCTTTACAGCAGGGGGCGTGACGGTCGATTTCCTAGTCACGCCAATGAAGCTATGGAAATCGACTGGATGGAAGTTTGGACGCAAACTTTCGTACCTGCTGGTTAAACTTTTAAACTTTTGAACAGCTGCTCGCTGTCACTTTTGTTTTGCTTGCGCGTACTACCACCTACCACCTACTAGCGACGGCCTCCAACCTTAGGCGCTGGCCCCCAACTTCCTTGCAATGGCCTCCAACCTAAAAGCGATTGCCTTTAACTTACTACTTGTCCTCCTGGTATCTCAGGCTTTTTAACTCAGGCCGGCGTGTGGCACCGCATTCACATCAGTATGCATTTCTATAGGTATGTCTGGCTTCATGCCAGCCCAGGGTGCCCCAAAAATTGACCCCTGTGGACCCGTCGAACGGGGGTTTGCCGAACGTATCCCATGCCCGGATACAAAGCAGCTCGCAGCGAGCGTAGGTGGCCTAGGCCAAAGTCATTTGCCAAGATTTGACGGATTATTGATTATTGAATTCCAAAAGCTGGCCGCCATTTTGGCATGCCTTTAGGTGTCCACAGCGGTCTCCAAGTGGCCCGCCATTTTGGCATGGCACAAGGTGACCAGAGCGGCCAAAGAAAGTTGAAGGTTCATTGGAACCTGTCGGGGCCTTTTGCCCCCTCTTC